CTCAAAACATATTTTAAATAAGAGCACAGAATTAGTTTGGTAGAATAAACTAACGTTGTATACGAAAATTAGTCAGTTTTGTTTGATGACTTTAGATCAAAAGTGAAACCAAACATATATATTTGTAGATAAAAGAAAAAGAAAAAAAAGAGCTAACATCAAATAAAGATAAACATATCGTAATGGCTACGTACATTATATAAAGGTATCTTATCCAGCTTAATTTAAATAGTTTACCAAACTAGGGACTAATATATTAGGTTCTGTTGATTGTGCATAGTGCAGAGATCACGGATTGGGACTTCCCTCTCTGTCTCTCTCTCCCTGGAATCGAAACCCGGCGTCAAACATTTTGCCCTTTTAGTCTTGTGGCGTTAAAATGTTACTTTCAATCCCACTGTAAATTTGCAAAGAGTAGCCCATGAGTGAGGTGGCCATTTCAATTTTTATTTTGCTATTGGCTGTTAAAAAATAATGAAAAAATTAGCGATTTTCTTTTCGGGAAATTGAAAGCATTTCTGAATAAAAGGAAATATTGAAAAAATTAAATTCTAAAAACGTATAATATATTTGTTGGGAAATTCTCTTCACTTAAAAGTTAAACTAATTATCATATAGTTTTTAAAGCCAACAAGATCCATGCTACGCATGGCGCTGGCACCTTTGATAGTTTACGTAATGCATCCAGAGGTTTGAGAAATACCGTTTTGTTAGTCAAAGTAATTTTCAGGCATATTTTGAGATTTACGTGGCAAATGGCAAGGAGAAGAAACACCTTTGAAATTAGTTATAATTATTAGTATAACTGAATATCTCACAGAACTGTCATAATTAATGACGGTGGTTTAGTTAAAGAAAATTCAATACTTAATAATATCACTAAAGTCTAGAGAACTGTCACAGGAAACTCTTAGAAGAAAACCAAAACAAAGTTTGTTTGTTTGTAATTAAGCACAAAGCTGCACAATGGGCTATCTATGTTCTGCCCATCACGAGTATCGAAACGCGGATTCTAGCGTTGTAAGTCCGCAGACATACCGCTGTGCCACTGGGGGGGGGGGCACCAAAACAAAGTAATACGTTCACCAGTTATACAGAGAGCATAGAAAAGCAACAGATGAATTTCAGTGATAATAGGTAAGTCTAATATAATCATATACTCACGTAAGGGGATCATATTAACGGTTTATTATACAGTTTGAAAAGCTCAACAGTCACAATAATTATATAAATTGTCGTTAATGTATGTAAATATGTACAGTTAACTTGAATAACGTGTATTTTTTGTCCCATATCTATATGTTGTGTTAATAGAACGAGGAAGAGAGATGTTATGTACAAGTTTTTTTTTTTTTCAACTAACTGTTTCGAAGAAATTAGTATATCTTATGAATTACATAACAAAATTATTTCAAAAGTAACTTTCACACCAAAGTTGTGTTGCATTTGTATAAAAAAATAATATTAAGAAGAATTATACATATCATCATATTTAAACGTAGAAATGAATTTCTTCATATCTGAATTATGGTCTGCTGATAGACTTACTCTGTCTTTCGAAAGTCTTGGAGAGCACAGTCTTAGTTAATCAAACTTCGACTGTGTTTATAACATTGAAAACATATACTTTACACATCCAGTCTTAGTTACTCAAACCTCGACTGTGTTTATAACATTGAAAACATATACTTTACACATCCAGTCTTAGTTACTCAAACCTCGACTGTGTTTATAACATTGAAAACATATACTTTACACATCCAGTCTTAGTTACTCAAACCTCGACTGCGTTTATAACATTAAAAACATATATTTTCTACATCCAGTCTTAGTTACTCAAACCTCGACTGTGTTTATAACACTGAAAACATATACTTTACACATCCAGTCTTAGTTAATCAAACCTTGACTGTGTTTATAACATTGAAAACATATATTTTCCACATCCAGTCTTAGTTAATCAAACCTTGACTGTGTTTATAACATTGAAAACATATATTTTCCACATCCAGTCTTGGTTAATCAAACCTTGACTGCGTTTATAACACTGAAAACATATACTTTACACATCCAGTCTTGGTTAATCAAACCTTGACTGTGTTTATAACACTGAAAACATATATTTTCCACATCCAGTCTTAGTTAATCAAACCTTGACTGTGTTTATAACACTGAAAACATATATTTTCCACATCCAGTCTTGGTTAATCAAACCTTGACTGCGTTTATAACACTGAAAACATATACTTTACTACATCCAGTCTTAGTTACTCAAACCTCGACTGTGTTTATAACATTGAAAACATATACTTTCCACATCCAGTCTTGGTTAATCAAACCTTGACTGCGTTTATAACACTGAAAACATATACTTTACACATCCAGTCTTGTTAATCAAACCTTGACTGTGTTTATAACACTGAAGACATATACTTTACATATCTAGATTCGTTTAGTACCTATTATTCAAAACTGACAATTTCTTCATGTTTGAAACGACCAGTTGTGTAGCTTTGTGTTTAACAACCGACAAACAAATCTTAAGAACTCATTGACGTTATTCTTTAAAATGGCTTCATTTATACTCGGCTCTTAGACGCTTCTGTTGCCTTCTGGGTCAGGGATTTGCGTTTACAAGTCATGATATATGAGTGGCAACCTTAGGGCTTTTTTCCTTTTGACCGGTAAAAAAGGAGGTCAACCTGTTACAAAACAAAAAGGTCTTGTAGTATACATCCATTTCAGTAAATATTCCTCCGCATCCCCCGAAATTTTGGGAGAGCCCGAGCCAAAGGGCCTGATAAATTTAAGACCAGGGTATAGACATACAATTTAATTTGCTTGCACTAAAGGGCGGTTGCATTATACTGCTAAGTTAATGATATCAATCAGCCAGAATCGTAACTACAATTATAGGGAAATAAAAGTAGGAAGTCCAATACTTTTATGCGGGGGTGACGGCCATCTTTTGTGGTTACACCACTGACCCTTCTTTAACTGTTATTGAGTGACTATTTTAAATAAGCTATATAAACCAGCCGTCTTTAAAAGAAGGCACTCTTAAGAAGTATCTGAAATGGAAGTTATCTCTTTGAAAAGAGTAGTTAATTGGTTTTCTAACTAATAATTGCCGACTTATCAGTCAAACTGAAAAATACAATCTATAAATGAAAGTGCAAAACAACAATTTTACATAGACTTTTCCTTTAGTTTACTATTAATTACGCGTAAATCGTAACAGCTAGAAACATAAATTATGTTCGTTCAAAAAGTTCTGCGGACTTACAAAGCTAGAAACCGGGTTTCGATACCCGTGGTGGGCAGAGCACAGATAGCCCATTGTGTAGCTTTGTGCTTAACTTCAAACAAAACAAAAAAAAAGTTCAATAAGTAGCGCAGAGTCATCTATTGATAACTATATTAAATATGAAAAAGAGATTATTAGAATGATATTCTGAAACACTAGATGGAAATTTCCACGTTCTGATAATTTTTAGAAAGTGATTTCGAATAAAAAAATGATTGAAGTTTGGAATGGAAAACCGTATTCTAGTTAGCAACACGTTATTTATCTTCTTTTATTTTTTAAACATTTGTAAGAAACAGTTATTACCATGTTCTCATATATGATAAATTGTACCTTAGTCAATATCCTAAGTTTGTCAGAATATCTTATGTTTTTAAATGCTTGATATAAATATCCAAATATATAATTTTATATAAAAATCTAAGTCAGTGTTACATTTTCGAATTTTTAACAATCAATAAATTTATGTAATCCTGTACATAACATTAATAACGTCGTCACTCTGATATAATAATTCAATCATATGTTCAGTTAAATTGTTGATGTTATATAAAATGTATCCATTAATCTTATTCGGCTTAGGATTATCATTATAAGCTCAGTTTATGAATAGTATTCTATCTAGAGGCGAAAGTATAATGATCATAGTTCTATATAGGGCCTCTTAATGACACGTCATGGGTCCATTTACATTTTTGTAAAGCATCATTTTAAATTGTTTGATAACGCAGTTTCATAAGACAATCGATTTTATTAAACTGCTGGGCCCGGCATGGCCAGGTGGTTGTGGCACTCGACTCGCAATCTGAGGGTCTCGAGTTCGAATCTCCGTCCCACCAAACATGCTCAAAAAACAAACAAACAATTAACCTGCTGAAAAATAACCGAACTTCATTTGAACCGCATTAAACGCACGTCGTATGAATTATAAAGCAGTTATATTTACGATTGTGTCCTTTGTTTTGTTTCTTGTAAAGCTACACCATGGGCTATCTGTGCTGTGCCTACTAACGGGTGTCGAAACCCGATTTTTAGAGGTGTGATCCCGCAGACTTACCACTGATCCACTGGAGGGGGAGGTCACGGTTGTGTCTTTTCCCTTTCTCTTTTCTTAGTAGCTTCATTTACGTGCTATAATGTGACTGTCAATTCCACTTTACGTTGGTAAAGGAGTAGCTCAAGAGTTGGCGGTTGGTGGTGTTGACTAGCTGTCTTTCCTCTAGTCTATCGTTTCTAAATTAGGAACGGCTAGCGCAGATAACCTACGAATAGCTTTGCGTGAAATCAAATAAATAAACAAACAATTTTGTTACCAACTCAAACTAACTGGCATGGCAATAAACATGAAAAAATATGTGGATGAACTTATAGTGAATGTTGGGTATCAAAAATCATGTAAGATATCTTCTCGCACTTATTGTTTTCAAAGAGTGAAACCTCCTCATTCCTGAAAACCACAACTTAAAGTGTAAAATGTGTTTATAAAGATTGTTATATCAATTTTTCTGGCTTAAGCTTTTAAGAAAAATAAATTAAATTAGACCCTAGATTAGACCCTTATATTTATTCTGGGGAATGAATGAGAAATAGCAATAAGACAAGAGTTCTATGAAACTTGTCCTCCAGTGGTTCCGGCTGTTGGATTACGTGCTGAAATTCGAAGTTCGATTTCTCGCGGTGGACAACATGCAGATTGCCCGCCATCCAGTGGCACAGCAGTATTTCTGCTGATATATACCGCTAGAAATAGGGTTTCGATACCCGTGGTGGGCAAGAGCACATATAACCCACTGTGTAGCTTTTCACTGAGACAAAAATAAAAACAATTGTTGAAACTATCAGTAATTAGTGGACTGCAGCAATGTTGGGATTGGCAAAACATATCCATTAAAAAAGTATATAAATATGTGTTGAAATCTACTAAAGTCATGCAGTGGCTTTTAAGCCTAACTTACATAAATCAAAGTTTATTTAAGACTATTTGAAATATTGACTAAAAGTTACACAGAATTATCAAAATACTTTCGCATGCTAAGTCATGTTTAAATGTCATTTCTACATAGTTCAAACTTCCCTGGCTCGGAATGGCTAGGTGGTTAGAACGTTTAACTAGCAATCTGAGGTTTTGCGGGTTCGAATTCTCGTCCAACCAAACATGCTCGCCCTTTCAGCCGTGCGGGCGTTATAAAGTGACGGTCAATCTCACTATTCGTTGGTAAAAGAGTAGCCCAAGAGTTGGAGGGTGGGTGGTGATGACTAGCTGCCTTCCCTCTAGTCTTACACTGCTAAATTAGGGACGGCTAGCGCAGATAGCCCTCGTTTAGCTTTGTGGGAAATTCCAAAACAAACAAACAACCGGTAGAGTCCGCATATTGCACCATATTGAGTAGTCTTATGTTTTTGCGTGTTATAACACTCAATGTAAAAAAGTAGCTGAAAGCGTTCAGTTTTTATTGTGAAATACATAGGGATTCTCAGCAGTAATTATTCATATTAATTGCAATATTGATAATATTTGTGTTTAATTTTCTTATGACTGGTATTATATCATACAAAGCCGTGGAAAACAAGCCACTTGGTGCATAAATAGATTAGAAAAGTCTGTTTAAAATTCCGATAGGGTTCATTGGTAACTTTATCGTAACTATGCAAAGAGTTATTAGAGCTGAGTGTAGAACCAGTTTGACTACATTATTTGAAGGGATGTGATGATGAAAGCATAAAAGATATCACCACCGAGATATTACAAGTGCAGTTGTAATCTGCCATTGTAAACATTCTCAAGTTATCTGGGTTCATATCCAAAACTATTTTGTTAGTTTTGTTACACAAAATGATAAAAGTAAAGAAAAACTCTTCAAACCACTTGACATGGGTACAACGTACTTTCTTTGTAAGAGTTCTGTTAGAGCTTTTTGTACGTTTTTTTAAACATCTAAGTCATAGGAGTAACCAAGAACGAAATAAAAAGTGGTAAAATTAAATCAACTGAAGGTTATTGTTTTAAAAATAAATAAATAGATAAGATTATTAACAAATAAAGTGAAAAGCGAATAAAATCTAAGAATGAAAAGAACAAATATAAAACATATTTTAATAATCTATTGTATACAGTGCAATACGGTTTGTAGCACATAGGTCCTGGACCGAATCGCTGAATTTGTTTCTTTGTTTTTCGCACAAAGCTACTTAAAGGAATATCTTCTCATAGCCGCCCTAGTTACGATCTGGAAGATTAGAAGGAAGGCAGACAGTTAACAGCACCCATCGTCAACTCTTGGGCTACTTTCGTCTGACCGAATAGTGGATTTGACCGTCACTCTTATAGGGCACACACGGCAAATTTAATTCTATCGTCATATTAAGCACCCGGTTTAGCGTTTAATTTTGACTCAAAAGAAAAACTTGATTCACTGTGTTCTGAATACATTAAGAAACATGACAATTTTCGTTTAATTAAGACGTGACTGAAAGCTAAAGGCTCGCTGACCCACTTTTTTCGTGTCCTTGGTAGCCTTAAAATTTGGGGTTCCTTTAGGCATTTTATACTTTGTGGGACACATGCTTGTGATTAAACCGATCACTCGCACTTGTCTAGATTTTTCTAGTTGCATGTTATTAACATGCATATTCTATGGAAAGATGTGGGTTCAAAAACAAGAATTCTGACAACGGGAGCGATATATAACTATCCTGTTTAGATTATCATGAAATAATTATACCCTAGACAAGTGGTTTACTAATTCCCTAGCGAATATTTTTGCACAGTTCGATAAACTGTATATATATTATTTGAATCGTCAAGTCTTATAGGTTATATGACCAAGATGTTGATTCCTGATACATTCGTATGAGAAATGATTCGTACTGAACAACAATAGCAGCAAAAAATACACAAGCTCAAGACTCCATTTTGTCTAGTATAGTACTAACTGTGAAAGATCATGAAATGTATTCACAGATACATTATTCGTTCTTTGATTTAATCTAATTTAAAATTTGATAAAAGATATATTTGAATTGCCTCTTTGCAATGTATTTATAAAATATACTAGTATTTTCAGCGTTACATTTCAAAGAATAATGCATTTGTATATTGTGTTTCTCAGACAATAATCTTTATATTTTCATACTTTGTGAAGTGCATGCTGTTAAAACACTAAGGTTTACGGTTAGTCGAATCGCTTCACTTGGACTGAAATACTAACACTTAATCATGGGTTACGTGGTCGCGGGTATATTAATGATTCTTTGATTTAATTTACTTTAAATGTTGATAAAAAGAATATAACTGAATTGCATATTTTTAAATCTGTCTTACCGAAGAAGACAGAATGTGGCTTCTGTGTCTGACTGTCTATGATATAAACTTTATAAGACACATAGTTAAAGTTAGGGTATTCATATTATTTCATACAAAGATATACCTATGAATTTCTGTGTAATCGGACTGTTGAAACGGGAACTGAGAAATCATCATCCTCGTACACTTCAGGTAACGGTAGCACGCTTAGGACATGACAAGTCTTACGACGGAGCTTTTTAAAATGGAAACTAAGCTGCAAGATTATTGTAAAGATATAAAGACAGACTGTAACGACGTGGTAAGGCTCTAAATACGTTCAGTATAATCTACTAACTCCCTGTATAATTTACTTTCCCGTTTGAAAAAAAAGCAACAACAAACAAAGATTAAGTTAAAGAATAATAATTGTGATGCTGTCACCAGAATATAATAGGACACTACATCTCTTGCAAACAGGGCCTGTTCTTGGTCTACTTTAAGGGTCAAAAGATGGCCCCAATTTAGGCGCCAGTTTCTCTTGGTAATTTATTTCCTATGATATATTTTCTCGTCTTGAATTTGAACCTGAGATCTGTCACACGCAAGGCAAGTCTTCTACTAACTGATATAAAGGGTTAATCCACTAGAACTTGCTAGTAAGGCATTTTTGAACAACTCAAGGCACTGTAATATTCTTAATCTACATTAATAAGTCATATTTTACTTTTTAGATGTATTTTGCTTTGATCTTTTGTGCAAAATATTTAATGAAAAATATATATTAAAAGTACTTTAAACTCTAAAAATTTGGAAAATCGCAGAATCATGAATGTAAACAGTTCGCAGATCCCTATATGTACGATGGAGAAGAAAGGTACCTCCATCCCCCTTCGAGATTCCTGCACATTTTTTTTCTTTTTTTAACCTATGCTTATGATCGGTAAATTTTGAAAAATGATTTTTATTGCTGGATACGATAGACGATTTTCAGTTTTGTACGATAACACCTAGCAGGGAGATTGTACAGCACAGCGTGAATAAACTTTATTATACAAAACAGATTATATTATCTTACCTTGTTTGATAGACAATCTTTATACCAAAAATTAAGACACGTTATTGGAGAGAAAAGTTTGATTTTCTCAGCAGTCTGAAAAATAACGTAAATATGTTTACAGGAAGATTTGTGAATGTAATCTTACAAATACTAGGTTATTATAAATAACTTTATTCGAAATAGTCTTAGTAACAATTTTAGCATTTTCAATCTGGAAAATATGCAAGAGACAGGTCAGAAGCCTAAAGATTCACTGTTATTTACCTTCGACCTTCTGACCCCAAAGAAAGCAACCAGTCAGTAGCACCTACAGCCTACACGGCTATTCTTAACCGACTAATACGTTTACTTATCACTTTTATGTAGTAATGATTACAGTCTAGAGGAGATTTTAGCATTTACCAAAGCTTTTCTCCTTCCAAATATGGGGGCCCATTTTCAGTACTTGTCAGTGCGAAGTCTACGTAGCGTAGGGCCGACCCTAATCTCGAGCCACTGACTTCAGAAACAACGTACTGCTAAACACACACGCACATATGTATATATATATATATATATATATCGCGTACTCGAACCTTGGAACTTTTTATTCGCAGCCTGACACGATAACAACTAGGCCACACCCATTTTAACCAAAAGCTTAGGAAAAACAAACAATATTGTGACCAAGTTATATACACCAAGTTATCTCTAAATCTGCTATTTACGATTTGTACCTGTTTAAACAAACTAAATTTCATCAGTCTAGATAAAAAATAAAACCAGAACCAGAATGATCACTATTTTGATTTATAAATTATTAAGGCTCGGCATGGCCAGGTGGTAAGGGCGCTCGACTCGCAATCTGAGGGTCGTGGGTTCGAATCCCCGTCACAACAAACATGCTCGCCCTTTCACCCGTGGGAGCGACATAAAGTGTCGGTCAATACACTATTTGTTGGCAAAAGAGTAGCACAAGAGTTGGCGGTGGGTGATGATGACTAGCTGCCTTCCCTCTAGTCTTACACTGCTAAATTAGGGACGGCTAGCCCTCGTGTAGCTTTGCGCG